TTTTTTTTAAAAGGTAGTTTGTGTGTTTTGCCTTCTCTTTATTCTTTTCTTTCTGTATTCTCTCAGTTTGGGGAAGAGAAATGGAAGATTAGGTTGAAGTTGTAAGATTTGGCTTGAGGAAAATAAGCTAGCTCAACTAAATGGACCGTGAGAAGGCTTTTTGTCTGGTGTGTCCTCATCATTTGGAATAGTGCCTTGGATCAAGTAACTGTTTGCTGAATGGACGCATGCATGTGGGAATGAAGTCCACTGGGCCTGTAGCTCAGTAGGATGAGGTTTGCAACTTTCTCTGAAAAACGTGAAATCCTGAGTCTGTGTTCCAACAGTCACAGGGTAGGCTGATTCCTATCCAATTCTTTCTGTCGTAGTCTTTCTATTCTAACCCTATGAACAGTTGCCTTCAGACTTCCCTTCTTGGTCTACAATTGTCTGTTGCACTCAGTGCCTATATAACACTTAGCACAGTGACGTATAGATGGTAGTTTATTATTATTCTAATACAGAATTCAAACTATTTACTTAAGGTTCATCAAGTTAGATATTAATTTAATTAAAGCATATTTATACTAAAGTTTCTGTGGTAGAATTACTGTACCACAAGTATTTGTTTGTCAGGAGCATAGTAGGTAACCAAATAAGTGAGCTGTGATTATGGGAGTTAGGGAATGGGTTAGTCAGGGGATGGGTTTTTTCAGGAGCGTCTTGCCTTTTCCAGGAAGTTTCTCCTGTCTGTTCCCCCAAGGAGTCCAAGGCTGATAAAGAAAATAGTCTCTACTGTAGGCTATTCATATCCCCTTTTCCTTTTATTTGCAAATGGTTTTGTACTTCCATTTTTATGGACCCAGTGAAAATGAAGAAATTTCTGAGGGAGATTAGATTATCTTATCTTAAATCCCTCTACACTGACTATAAACTCTCAATCCTTACTATGGCTCAAGGCTCTGTCCTTTATAGGCTCTGCCTACCTTTTCAGCTTCTCTCATCCTGGTTCCCTTTGCTCCAGCAGTACTCTCATCTTGTAAAGTGTGCACACCAATCTTATTCCTAACACTAGATTTTTGTGCTTGGTGTTCCTTGTGCTTCTCTTTATTTATATCTGAGCTTAAATGTCAAGAGGGCTTTCTAGTCATCCTGTCTGAACCATTCTTCTTTTTCTCATAACCCTGCCTTGTCTATCTGCGATAATTTATTTATTGGTTTATTTTTATCTGTGTTTCTCCTGCTGAAATGTGAGCTGCATACATGAAGGAACCTTGTCTGTCTTTGAATTTATGAGGAAGAGACAGTGAATTGGCAGATTGCATATTGGAAATGTTAAATGATATATCTGGGAATCCAAAAGTTTCCTGTAGTTGATGTCAGGGAAACTCCTGTCAGGATTTTTTAAAAAGTCAGTTGTTAAACAGGAAGTTAAAAATAATAATAATTAATAATAATAATAATAATAATAATAATAATAATAATGAGAAGAAATGGTTAAGTACTTATTGATTTTTTACCTGTCTGTCTGACCTCATTTTCTGCTAGTATCCCTTGCTCACTGCTTCAGCCAGGTTGGCCATTTTGTTGTTCCTTA